CAGCTGTCAGCTCTTATAAAGAGCTGGAGTCTAAGTCTGTACCTGGTCTCGATGGAGTGGCACAAGCTCTGCAGATCCATTATTTGGGGTTGGCACAACTTTAGCTAATGTGGCTTTCCTAGGACTGGGTTCCTGAAAAACACAAAGCAAACATGCACTCTGTAAAGCAGATCACAAGGTAAGTGGAAGCCAGGAGGGATCCATATACAGTCATTATAAGCCACTGTGAGCAACACTCAAACACAGAGAACATTCCTCTATTTTTACTGGCTCATCTGGACTTTTCATTGATATTTTAAAACCACCCAGGAAAGACCAACACTTGCAATGAAAATTACCCTGTATGCTGACTCCCAAGGAAAGACTGAGTTCCTAGAGGGGAGGGGGGAGAGTGAGGCAGAGGAATCAGATGAACTTAGCCCAGCCAACATGCTGCAGAGGATAGAAAAGTGAATGGGAATAACTGCACAGTTTGAGATTCTGAATGCAAAAACAATTAGCCACAAACTCTTCCCAGCGTAGCAATTGTTGATGGTCACGTCACATCTTGCTGGAAAGAAAGTTTCCCATAAATTTGATAAAGTCTCAGATTTGATCAACAAACTCAATGTCCCATTAACTTTGACATGATCAATACAGTTGCTCCTCAAACAGGGGCTTCCACTTTTGAGTGCTCTAATGATGCCCAGTAAAAAACACAAGTATTGTCAGAGCAATCTCAACCCTTCCCTGCACGCATGGAGTTGCTGTCATCTGTCTATGGAAGGTCAGGATGCACCTGGACCACTCTGTTGATGTGCCCCCCACATGCACATCCTTAGGCGGCTAGGGAGCTGGGCACCTCACAGGAGAGAGAAGACTTGGCTTTGCAGAGAGATGTTATTACATAGTTCTCTGTAACTGGGATGGATACATCTACATCCTTGCAATATCAAAAAACCTTTGGTGCTGCTTTAAACAAAAATCAAGAGCCTGTTCCCAGAAACCTACCACTGCCATTCTAACAAAAATCACAAGCCATGTTCAAACAATGTCAAATGGTCTCCGTTCTACTCACAGCTACTGAGCTAGATTAGTGCAAACGTCATGGGATTCACTCAACAGCTTGGGGACTCTAGCATGGAGGAACAATAGGGAGCGCAGGATCGTTATAACGAGCTCTGAAGATGCTCGGTGAGGGACAGAGAGGGGAGACTGTTAAATTCAGACCATTCATCATACCAGACTATTTTAAATGATTCCCTTGTTAACAGTTTCCCGGTTTTGTCATCAATTTTTGAGTTTTGTTTTCAGACATAAAGGAGAGAAAAGGCTGACTACAGGTTGTGGTGGTGGGGAAGATGTAATCCAATGGTATCTTCAGTTCCTTATGGGCGACAGACAGCTAAGTATTAGGAGAGCGACTTTCTGACAGTGAGATGTATTAGGCTGCAGAATCTCCTAAGGGCAGTGATGGAAGCCCTGTTGGGCAAACTAGGCAAAGGACCAGAGAACAACCCTGCCCTGGCCCCCAGGATCAGGAAAGCGGAATAGATGGAAACCAACAGAGCTTTTCCATCTGCCATTATAATGAAGTCTGTAATGGTCTCAACTGACATTTAGCAATATTGGGAGGGCATGTGAATAGACAACACCTTTTACTATATACTCATGAAAAAAGGAGGATCCATAGAAGAAAGGCTTACAAGTGCAATAAAAGCATCTATAATAAAAGGTAACTGACTAACAAAAAAAGCTCGGAGATGCTACTTTCCACATTACAGCAAGTTTCAAATTTTAGTTATGAACACATCGGAAATAATAACACTGTCCCCTGACATACGGAAAATCTCATAAAACTCTGCCATGTCACATCGCAAACTCATGCTACCAAAGTTTACCAGATTAATACCCTGAATGGAGGATTGTGACAGCCCACTCACATTACAATGAAACCATCAGAGCACACTCTACTTTTAGTTTCATTGTTGCAGCTCAACCTGCGCTAGCAGATTCTCTGGCAAAAGGGGATTTCCTTAATAAAAGGAATCAAGAGAAGCAACATTTTAACCCTTTTATTCTTCACCTTTTCCTCTGGATCCAGCTGCACAGTTTGACCCAGACTTTAGTCTATTTAATCTGACATTATCCCAGCATCTAAAAATAACATCCAAAACAACACAAAAGGGAAAGCACAAAGGGCAGAGAAATCTTCAACCTCATTGAGGGGTACTGTTGCAGCATGGCTGGGTGGAGGACTTTAGTGACTAGTCAAAGTTCAAATCTTGCCCCTACCCTGGCGGTCACAGCAGGAATGTTCCCGACACTCTGTTCTCTAAGGCTTTGTCAGTTTAAGTTTTCCACACGATGTAGCTTCCACCCCAGTCCTGAAGAAACTAATCCACAGCCTAACAAATCTCAGAGCATTTTGCCAAATAATCTGCCTAGTTTTTCCTTTGCTCATTTTCATGCAATTACCTGCCTGTAGGACCCCTTCAGCCACCCTGTTTCCTTGCTGTTTACATTGTTAATTCCTGTAGCTCATGGTCTGGATTTTTAACATTCATGATCAAGATAACTATATTTGCAACATATACAGCTACCAAGGCCTTTGAATAACCACTGGGGGTGCCCACTTTGGTCAGACAAATTCCTGGAGATTTCATTACATGACAGACTCCAGGACAATCCTAGAGGGTTGGCAACACTAGTAACCACTGCCTGCAATCCAAAGCAGTAACAAGTTGCCTAATCAGTAACACTACCAGAACACTGGGAAACTCTAGGATACAGCCCACAGTGTTGGCAGCCGGCTCCAGGGGCTCATTTGCTTTGAGAGCTCCTTGATTGTCTGAATAAATGCCCAAGATACAGCTGCAGACCTATGCCAACTACTCTGGAGACTAGTTAATGGAGCTGTACCAGATGTTTTTTGCCGAGACGACTTGCAGTTAGACATGCAACTACTCCTAAGAGGAAGCTATACAGACAGTTACAGGAATTGCCATGAAGTGAGGCAAACCAGCCAGAGAAAGCTAAGCTCCACCCAGAGCAGTTCAGTCGTTATAAAGCAACTTTTTTGTGCTAAAAAAGTTATCACACCTGCAAGCAGGGCCAGCTCGGCCACACACACTTCTCCCCTACACGTCCCAAGTAAAAGCAGACCAGTTTCAATGGAGAGATATTTCTGTACAAGAAAATGTTTCATAACCCCCACCCATAATCACCCTCCCATTCTGTTTCACTTTCTGTCTAAAAGTGCACAGTGCTGCTATCCAGCTATTAAACCACTGCCATGTCACAGCAAATGAGTTATCCCTGTATACTCAGCTGCCACCTCCCACCTCAGAAGTGGCTGCATTTCCACAGTATGGGAAGCAATCCTGCTGGATAGTTTCTGATATCCATGGTGGCTCTTCAGAAGTGATATCACTCATTACTGTTACTTTACACCTCTACAGCCTCTTCCATCCAGAAATTCTTCACACACAGCACCAGGATATTACAGCGCCCTGGAGGTTGGAAGTGGCCGACAGCTCATGGCCAGCAGGGGAAGAATCCAAGCTCAAGACATTAGAGGAGCCCAATGAACATTCCAATGTCCACACGGGACAGGGGCAGGTCTCACTCAGAGCCCTCCAGACAATGGGCAGATCCATTCCAGAGTAAGAAAACTAAAGGCAAGCGAGGAGGGAGGTAACCCTGTGTCAGAACATAAGAACAGTCATACTGGGTCAGGCCAATGATCCAGCTAGCTCAGCATCCTCTTTTCCCACAAAGGCCTATACCAGACACTTCAGAGGAAATGAACAGAACAGGGCAGTTCTCACGTGATCCATTCACTGTCATCTAATCCCATCTTCTGGTCGTCAGAGGTTTAGGGACATGGAGAGCATGGGAGTGATCATCTTGGCTAACAGCGATTGATGGGCCAATCCTTTCATTAACTTATCTGAGTCTCAGTTATACCTTTGGCCTTCATGGCACCCCCTGGGTTACAGGTTCTCAACCTTTTTCTTTCGGAGGCCCCTGCAACATGCTATAAAAACCCCACAGCCCATCCGTGCCCCAACAACTGTTTTTCCTCTTTTAAAACCGGGGATGGGTCACTGGATGATTCCCTGGTCCGTT